TAGATATTAGATTCGGGTCTTTTAATGAATTTCGGGTGTTAGAAACCGGGTTCTAAGGTGTACAGACTAAGGTTGAAGTAAGGATATCTAGTTAGGTTGTGTTGGAATGCTTATATGGAGCGGGGTGACTTGGGATCACCCCTAGGTATGTGCATGATAAGGTTACACAGTGATTTGATGGCCTTAGAATAACTCCTAGCACGTTCGAGGACAAACATATGTTTAAGTGGGGGAGGATGTAATGATCTGACCAGCCGTTTTGAGCATTTGCATTCCGTTCAACTGTTTTGAGGTCTCGAGTATCTTCATATAACGTATTATAACTTGTGTGAATCGTTGGTTTTGGTTTCAAGTGATTCGGGAGAAAGATTCTCATGTTAGAAGCTTTGAGTTGGAAGAGTTGACCAAGTTTGACTTTTGCATATTTGACCCCATATCAGAGTTTTGATAGTTCCATTAGATCTAGGTGGCGATTTTGGACTTGGGCGTATGCCGAATTTGCATTTGGATGTTTCTTGAAGGTTTTGGCATTAAATGGAGAAAGTTGGCGACTTGGAGTTTTGGGATGTTCATAAGTTTGACCGAAAGTTGAATTTGATGATATCGGGTTTGGATTTTGGTTCCAAGAGTTGGAATAGCTTCATTAAGTCATTTGGAACTTGTGTGAAAAATTTGAGGTCATTCCGAGTTAATTTAATATTGTTCGGCATGAGATTTGAAAGTTGAAAGTTCAAAAGTTTAGTAAGTTTGATTTGAGGTGTGATTCGTAGTTTTAATATTGTTATACGTGATTTGAAGCCTCGAGTAAGTCCGTGTTATGTTGTGGGACTTGTTGGTATATTCGGACGAGGTTTTGAGAGACTCGGTTGAATTTCGAATTGATTTCGGATCCTTCTCCTCATGTTTGGCTAGTTGATTCTCTACTTGTTCTAGTGTTCTAGGCCTTCTTCGCGATTGCGAAGGAAAGGACGTGATCACGTAGGGTATTGGGGAGTTGTTGGTTGTTTCTTCATCATGTTTGCGAGAGGTGAAGAGCATTCACAAAAGGCTGAAGGGTTGTTACATCGCGTTCACATGTGAAGGTTCGCGATCGGGGAACAACTGGGAGCTAGGGACTTCCTTCTTCACGTTTGCGTGGTTGCAGATGTGTTCGCGTAGTGTTGGTGCCTGTGTTCATCGAGTTCGCAATGGTAGTGCCGCGAACACGAAGCATATTTTTGGCTGAGTTCTTTTCTGTGCATCGGGATCGCGTGGGTGCAACTGTGATCACGTAGAGTACCATTGGACAGAGCACATAAGTACTCTATTTCAGACCTTTGAGTTATTTTATCACATTTTGAGTTGGGGAGCTCAGAGTTGGGCGATTTTCACCACAAGGATTGGGGTAAATGTTCTCTACTTGGTTTTGATTATATTTTATGAATCTATCTTCGATTTTGGTATCTGGATTATGATTTTTAAAGAGAAATTAGGGGGGGGAGGGGGGAGGGACGGCGACAACTCACGTGCTGTAGTATCAATATCCTCACAAACAGGCCCCCGGCCTCACTCAGTCATCAATCTCTCCAGCCTCACTCACGAGCTCACAATGTCATGAAACTAGCCCG